AAATTTTTACTCGTGTGGGTAATTTCTAGTATTTTGTAATTTTTGGTCGGGAACTTTCACGAAAATCATCCGGCTGCAATCCGGCAACACTGCAGCGTTAGTGTGCGTACGCAGCTAAGAGCCACGAGGTTTTCTTTAGAATACCATATATGGTAAACATCTAGCTAACCTTCTTTATCTCTGATCTAGCTAGATATCCTGTATACCGGTAAAACGTTCAGTTCATATCCTTTTTCTATGGTTCAGAGATAAACGTTCAGTTTCAAGGTGTATGTATCTTGGTTCAGTTTTTCAGTTTTATAATATATAGGTATTCAGTTCAATAAATACTTAAGTTGCTAGCCAGGAATTCCAAAGGTAAGTTTGACATTTTTATATTTTTGCATGATCAAATTTAAGATACGAATTTTATTGTATATATACTATAGTAGATCAGTGCACTGATAATAATTGTTACAATTATTGCAAAAACAACAAAAACAATGAATAACCATGGTTATAACGCTTTATTGTGGTTATATTATTTTATAAAGTTTTTATTCATTGTTTTTGTTTTTGAGTCAGATCACGTCAAGTGGACCCCCCATTTTCCACTTCAAATAGAATTTAAATTTTAATACATCAATCGTTAGTAGTCATTAGTAGCAATATTACCTTAAAATATATTTTTTTTTATTTTAATTTCAACAGTTTTTTTGTAACAAAGATTTTTCTCACTTTTAATTAAAAAATTAATTGTGAAAAAACTGTTTCGTAGTGAAATTTTCAGGACTTTTTTTTTTAATTTTTTTTATACTTTTTTTGATCATTGAAATATACAATTCAAATTTTTGATTTTGAAAGTTTCTATCAAATAATCAAGTTTTTTTCATGGTTACATGTACTGGATATAAAGGTTTCATATCCTGAAAAAAAATTTCACTGCCCGGCATTTCTTTAAACATTATTAATTTTTACTGCGCCTCATGAGTCGAAGCCGCGCTCGGCTGAATTGGTTTGAATGATTTGTTTTTATTTGAATTCAAAATATGACATCCATTTTAATATTTTTATTAGTAAATATACAGTCGACAAATATTTTACAATTTTTTAATCAATAAAATAAATGAATTAATTAATTAATACAGAATATTTTTATTAGCTATCGCAAGACTTTTCTTTATACACAAAAACAAATATTTTTTTTTGTTCTAAGCTTTTTATTTATTAAATTTTATAAAATGAGTCTTGTAAATAAATGCTTTAATCCATTAATAATGTTATAATTTATATATTTTTTAAGGACCAAAAAGAAATTAAAATAAGGGGAAAAATGATGAGTTATTTGACTCATTTGATGATGTGTCCAGTGATGAATCAGTAAGTATACTTATCTGTAGATGTAATGTATTAATATATAATATATATAATGTATTATGTGATACATAATATATATTATAATAAAATATTATACAGTATTATACTCATGTGTATGCATTAATAAGTATTATTGATGTTATAATTCATATTTATTTTTAAGGTTAAAGAGGACATTGAAACCTCTGAGGTTGATTCGGAATAAACTTTACAACATAACACTTTGTGTTTTATTTCAGTATACTATTGTACCTCATTGTACCTCAAGTTTAATTATACAAAGTTTATACAAAAGTGCTCTTTTAGTTCCACCCTTACTTCTTAAGAAGTCCCATAAGCCAACTGAATGGCTTGTGCCGGTTAGGGGTAGGAACGGACCGCGGGTTTTAAAGTCCCCTTCGAAGGACTAATACACAATAGGACAAACACAAATAAACAGCCATACCCCTGGTGGGATTCGAACCCACGACCTCCGGCTTGTAGTCAGCAGCACTAACCACTAGACCACCGTCGGCGTGGATGGCATAATTGTCTAAAAAAATATTCTCCAATTGGACATAAATCACATCTTTATTTAACATTTTTCATTTGACTTTATTTACAAATATAACAAAATCTGTTATTTTAAAAAATAACACGTTTTATTTTGTGTTCCAATTTAAAATTAAGTGCAAAAAAAATTGAGTATACGCACGAAATTCACCGTAAATACGCACGCGAAGATGCGTCCTCCCCTTGAATTCACCGTAAATGCACAAGTGAAGCTCGAAGTGAGTGCGCATGCATGCTAAAATTCGCGCGAAAAAATTGAAATTATGTTGAATGCACATTTTTTGTTCAGAAAACTTATTTTACTCTATAGGGGAAAATATGTTTTCTGAACATGCACCCTTATTTCATTTTTTTCGCGCGAATTTAGAACACGCATGCATTTACGGTGAATTTAAGGGACGGACGCATCTTCACGTGTGCATTCACGGTGAATTCAGGTGTGCATTTAAGGGGCGGACGCATCTTCACGTGTGCATTCACGGTGAATTCAATGGGCGGATATATCTTCACATGTGCATTCACGGTGAATTCCAGGGGCGGACGCATCTTTTAGCAACCGTGAATTCACGCGTGAAACAATATTTTTCACCGTGCATTCACGGTGAACTCACGAATGTTATCTGGTTATAATTAAGTGATAAATGACAGTATACCTGAAGATCTAACCCTAGGCCAATATGAATCACCTTATGTAGGGAACAAACTAGCCTAGAGTGGGCCATCATCTGCCAAAATCTGATAAGTACCAATTAATCGCATGACCTAATACGCATGCTCGGTATGTAGGTTCATTTTAACCCATAAATCCGATAGGTTAGTTTTTTTGGCTCACCCTAGTGAATATAGTGAATAAAGACCATACGGACACGGAAGTAATTAAGTGATAAATGACAGTATACCTGAAGATCTAACCCTAGGCCAATATGAATCACCTTATGTAGGGAACAAACTAGCCTAGAGTGGGCCATCATCTGCAAAAACCTGATAAGTACCAATTAATCGCATGACCTAATACGCAAATTCGCAACAAAAACCTAACAATAATTATTATCATTATAATCAATCATTATTACTGAAAACAGCGTAACAGTGTAAATTATTCAATCATTAGGTAAGAACGTCACAAAACATAAATAATCATAAACTTAAGAGGCAAGCCCCAACAAAATTAAAATGTAAAAAACTTAACAAACGAAAATAAAATAAACAAACAGTTCCGATATTTGCCTAACATAAACCACTAAACACCTCTAAATTTTAGGCATTGCATGCTGCTAGCTTTATAAGAGAATTAAAAAAGCAAAGTTAAGAGCAATTATATAGAATAAATATTATAAATGTAACTTCTAATGGTTAGAAAAGAAAAAGAAAACGTAAATACAATTTCTACCACAAAATAAAGACAAATATCTATCGATAGTTCTCGACCCCTACACTCAGGAAACGGTTTTCGCACAGTGGGGTAAACAATTGCTCACAACAGTTTCCGAATTTCAGCAGACTACAAGACCAGCAAAGTTAGGTCCTAGCAGCGTATTAACCAACCAAACCTCATTCATGAACCCCAAATAAATGGGGGCATTACTAAATCCCTGTTGAGAGGGATTCCGGATTCTACTTAGTTTTGTCCCCTTGTCCCGTACTCCACTAGCATAAATCTGGCGTATGGCCCGGCCCGGCGAAAAAATTCCTGGAGTGGCCTTAACCATCCACACTGTCATCCACGACCTCCTAGGCGAGATTTACCAACCGGGGTGATAATGCGGATCCACCAAACACAGGTGATGCTGTTCAGTGGCGGGATAAGTAGAAGAACTGAAAGAAGGTGAAATAACCCTGGTAGATCAGTGCAAGGCGTGCCGATGGGACCTGCCATTCGTTCCTTATACTCATACTCATACTCAATTTTAATTTTATGTTAATTATTTTCTTCGTTTCAAAACTCACGTGCGCGGGCTGATTAATTAATCAAACCAATAAGTTGTAAATCTTTCTTAAATAAATACCTACTCGGTGTTCATAAAAACTTGCGTTTTTATCAAACATCGCGCCCCCTTGTAACCTCGCGCCCCTAGGCACGTGCCTAGTTTGCCTTAGGGATAATCCGCCTCTGGCATGAGCCGTACCAAAGGTTATTAATAAAAACGTATTGAATTTGAAAGATAACGTACTGACTTTGGGTTTTTCTCCAATTTTGAGAAATAAACATTAAACTTATATGAACGAAATTTTATTTTGTACTTTATCAATAAACACATAGGTACACATAAATAAACTATAAACATCAAAAGAAAAAAATAGATAATTATTATTATAGGCCCATACAAAAAAACTTCGAAAAAAAAAAACAATATTGTTGGTAAAATAAAAAAATAGTCTACCTATCGATAATTAATTTTCTTTTTTAACAAAGATTGAGGTATTTGGCTTTATCAGTATCACCAACCTAAACTTTTAATTTTTATTTAAATGAAGAGAAAAAAATCTAAAACTGTAAACGTACTGAAAACCATTAACGAGGTACTTGCGTACTTTTTTTAATTCAAAAGTATTAATTTCGGTACAAACGTACTGACGCTGGCAACACTGGATACAAGGATGTATCATGGGCCATGATTCATGGCTTTAAGGAGTCTGCGATTGTATACAATTATAATTATTTTACGGCGCATGTCCGTCTCGACACGTCCAACTATTTTCTGCAAACGTTTTCGCTTAGTGCTGTCTGGTCCAGTTTATGTAATGTATTTTGTATAGCTTTAAAGTAAAGGATTGGTATTTATATGTATTCAATACATTGTATTGTATTATGTTCTGTAGTATATTCCACCAATGTTTTTTAAAAGAAAACAAAGAAAAACTTGCTATTTTGTTTAGTTATTACAAAAAAGTACAACGAAAACCGAAATATTGCCAGTAATAAAATTGCAGTTTTTTTGTACAAAAATTGTTTTATTTCACAGTTTACGTTTGTTTGATAAGGATATTTTAAAATTAACAATTCTATAAAACTTCTCATAAGTTGTTCATATTTTACAATTTATTTAAGTAAATAAATACAGTAACAATATAGTTTATATATAGGTACCTATTTAAAATATAATAACATGCTTATATTACAGTTAAATTAATTAGGTTAAATTGGATATTATGGTACTTTCCATCCTATAAACTATTTAAATAAAATATATAAATTTGAAAGAATTAACAAAAATAAATAAATTGATGTGTTTTTTTTTTATTTATATTTTGGTTCTGCCTTCGTGAGCCTTCTTAACAATTGCTAGTTTGGAATGAGGATCTAAAGCGGAAAGTTCGGTGTAGGGAGGGTCTTTTGTGCCATGAAGCATAAGGTTCCACTCTTTTATAAAGCCTGATTGAGGCACATCTGAATTAAAACTTGCCTAAAAAAATTGTGTAAAAATAACGATATTTTAGTTATTATAAATATCACATACCTCAAGAACCCATTTGCCTTGTGGGTATTCCCCCCAGGTGTGCGTAGTCATGAAAGGCCATTTTGAAAATCCATCACGTGAGTCATCATCATTAACTCTCTTACTTAAAATCATCGATCTAAAAAAATAATTTTTTTTATTTGTATGTCAAAAAGTCAGTATTTTAACAAATATATACACAACTATATTTAATAGTATTTATCTTGCGCGCGCACTCGATATATCGATATGTATATATACATATCACCCCAGCTTTTTAAGGGTAAGGATTTATAAGTAAAGTTACTTTGGAGACCAGAGGCTCCCCAGCCAATGTCAGTTTAGGAATTTAGGTTATATTAAAAAAATATTATAAAACTAGTTTTAAAATGCAAAATGTTTTTCTGTAAAAGTTATTATATTTTTGGTGAAGAATTGGGAATGAGATAATTGTCTGGGATTTGAAATTGTTTTGGTAATAATTCTTTAAGTGTCCATGAGATTAATAATACTGAGGGCGTGGATACTGCTTCAAAGAACATAAGAGGCTTGAATTAATTCAAATAGTTATATTCGATCCAAATTTCAAATCGAATATTTAAACTTTAAGAATAATTTAAATGTTTCGAATAGTTTAAATTAAATAGAAAATGTTTAAGAATAATAAAACTTATTCACAAACAAAAAACACTAGCCTAATCTAAATCTAAAAAATCCAAACCCTAGATGAACAAAATTATTCTAAATTAAATTAAGTACAATCTATATAAATATTTATGTAAAACATTCCAAAACAGAAATAAAAAAGGTCAAAAATCGTAAAAGCTCAAAACAAAGTAAACAATAAAAACAAAGCCAAACAGTAAACCAAAAATGGTTTGTTCTGTGACCAAAATGTTTGATTATAATCTCCTTGGCAAGGAGTCTTTGGGTAATAAAATAGGACGTAGCCCCAGGCATGTGCAAAACTGCTTAAGTAGCTAGCCCCTACTTTAACCCCACGAAAAGGAAACAGCCTGAATCCAAAATGATCTGTATATGTGTGGTAAGTATATGGTTTGTTACCCATGAAACAATCGACTCCCGGCCATGAATTGGAGCAGAATTGAGCGACTGTTTGAAAAGTATCTTTCGACGGCGAACGCACGCTACACCTTCTCCCACTGCATTATTCTAATTAAATACATAAGAGCTAAGGGGTCATCCATTAATTACGTGAGGCAATTTTGGCGATTTTTCGACTCCCCTCCCCTTGGTGAGATGTCGTGGTATTTTCCTCGACCCCCTCCCCCGTCCCTTAATCTCACGTGAGATTTTTTTAAATGCATGGTTTTATTGTAAATAAGTTGCCCCCTAAAACTTTACGTCCACTCTGAGAGTGGCACTCTCTCGAACGTGCTTACCCCCACACTCCTTGGAGCAACCATCGTTTCAGAGCACCAAAGAAAGTTGCTTTGATCCTAAGACTTTTGTCTTAGCTTTGACGTATTAAGGATCTTATTTTAATAATACTGCGGTGCATGCAATTTATGCTATATATATGGATACCTATATCTTTGTAGGAATATATCCATTCTAAATATAGGTACATAAAATGCTATGTATGTATAAGTTATGGATACTTAGGAATATACTCTTACATAAGATATGTTTTATTTACTATGTATATTGTATATACCTATGTCCACAGATGTTCGCATACATTTTAAATACGCATAAAATATGTCATGTATAATATACGTGTCCTCTAGTTGGAAATCTGTAATAAATATTCGCGTATATCCATTATTATATCCATATTCATATTCAGAGAATTACATACATTGGATATGTTATATATATTAACTGACTATGTCGAGTAATAAGGAATAATGACACATTTAAAGTTTCAGGATGAGTTCTGATATTGAATATTGCAATAATTAATCAAGTTAAAGAAGGAAAGATTGTACAATTATTGTGTTTTGTGTCCATGAAGCTTTGGTTAATAAAATGTCCTTGTACTGTATCTACATTCTCACGGTAAATAATTTTATGTAACCCGGAAAATAATCCAGTGGTCAAATAGGAGGATCTGGCAGGCCAAGCAATTATAATTTTTAAATAATTGTGTATTCGAATAATTTGGTTGATGAAATTGTGAGTAAAACAAAACGCAGCTCGACTTCTCTATCGACGAGCTATCATACCTACTTGCTGAGCATCGGATATTTTTGACCGAAATAATTTAGTTTTTACTGGTTTACTAATGAAGGATGTAGAATATTTTGACAAGCTGTTACCATGACTTTTTAATTAAAATAACGATGGTAGCAAATCCATTTTTATTTCTTGTATCAACAAGCGGCCATAAACAAAATTCCTTATTAATATTAAGTTAATATTACAATGCAGAATATTTAGAAATAATATTTATTAACGGGTTTTGCTACGGTAACGAAAGAGCCGCTGGACCTATAATCTTGTTGCAAAAACTAGTTTAGACGACGACTAAACAACGTCTGTGATAAATCAAAATCTATTATAGTATTAAAATCAGACCACTGTCGACGTCTGTTCAACGTTTAAATATATCTAGGAAGTTCCTAGTAGGAACTGTTACTGAAGTACGGCAACGATGGTTTGACGTCGGCTTTTTTCCCACGAAGGCAAAGTTGCTTTTCGGGAATTTATTTTCATTGGACTGATAAGGCGTAGTTTACCAGGTATGGGATTTTTTACCTTAGAAATAAATAAAATTCTCGACCGATATGGGATCAATAGCAAAATTTAAATCCTGGAAATACCTTAAGATATAATTTTTACCCTGAAAACTTGTTGCGAAAACAAATTAATTAGCCAGGTTTGGAGCATTTATAATGTATTTAACAGATGTAAATACAGATTTTTAAAGAAAAAGTTTACAGTTATATAAACCTCATTCGACCAATGTTGTACTATTTATCTATTGTCTGATGGTCCAAAATTAGATAGTCCACTGCAGCAATAAAAATAGAGGACGTACTGCCCTAGAATATATTTCTATCATGTGTGCAATGCGTACATACGTACGACTTCTATAGCAACTGCTTCCGAGGTTACTAGGTCGTAAAAACTTTTTACTAGAAAGAAATCAAGGCGAAACATCGTCATTTATATAGATATAGGGGTAAAGGTGCGAGATCAGATTGTATGAATCGATACAACCATACTGCAGTGTAAAATCACAGGTATACGAGCTACTTCACGCAATAAAAAAGCAATAAGAATAATTCATCCCTACCGGTTCCGACTCAACTTTAAAATAGTTAACTTGATTTTCTAAGGTATTTTGTTAGTAACTTTTTTACCTTGTTCCCATAGGTGATGTCAAAAACAACTCCACGTCTCCTCTTCGAGTGGAATTCAATGTAATCACAGCTTGAACATGTTCCAAATACTTTACTTCGGTTTTATCACCCTCACATGAGTTAGTAGTGATCTCCATAACCAACGAATTCTTTGAAGGAATTTGCCTTAAAAACAATAAAAATAAATACTTAAAAAATAAAATAAATTTAAATAATAATTACTTTATTTCAGATACAGTTCCAGCATCGCAATGGTACCTTGGAGGTACGGTTTTCCACTGTTTGGCCAAAGCAACCATCGCACCAGCATCCAAAACCCCGAACCCAAACAAGTGATTGAATTCCAACCCGACGCCGTTCATCGTCCATCTAAATCTGCCTTTAGCATCGAATAGGGAATTTCTTTTCGAAGTTAGGACAGTTAAATGTTGAATGTCTCTCCAGCTTAGTTGAGTACTGAAACATAAAAATATATTACAAATTATGAAATAATGAATATAGACTTTTTAGAAAGAGCAAAAAGATGCTATGCTATGTTATGTTATGATATGTCAACATTACTTTGTTGTTAATTGTTCAAAAATATTCTATAACAAAAGTTAAAAAATTAATATAATATACTTCAACTAAACAAACATCTTAAAAATTAAGGGTGTAACACAACCGATGATGGCGATTACATTTAAATTAAAGATCTATAAATGCAAACTTTGGTCAGCTATTAGCATATTAAGAAATTTTAAAAACAAAACATATTGATTTAATAATTTTATCTGAAACATGGCAAGTTTATGAGGTGAGCGACGATAATATTGCGGGTTTTAACATATTTTAAAATGACTCAAAACTTAACCAAAACATTGTCCACGTTAATAATTTAATAAATTTCAACGCTAAAATTGTAAAAACTAGTCAAATGAATTTTCTTAGAGCTACTTTTAAAGTGGATAATTGTTCTTTTGGTTTAACAGCCTGTTACAGACCATGTGGATCAAATATTGCTATTTTTAATAACGAATTAAATGATTATTTAAAAAATCTTCAAAGAATGGATATTGAGATTTTTTCTGGAGATATTAATATAGATTTAATGGATATATGTAAATATTAAAGATGTAGGTACTTAACTATCTTTTTTATCAACATGATATGTTCTCATATATAACAGTACCTACTAGAACAAATAATAATAGTTCCATCCTTATTGATCATTATATTGTGGGAACAAAAACATAAATATCAAAAAAAATCAATATCTCCACTTATTTGTTTGAAAATAGCTTGACTGATCACGAATTCATTTTTTTACACATAAAACATAAAAATTTAAAGAGACAAAATAAAGAGAACATTAAAAATGAATATATAAAAATAGATTACGAAATGCTTAGTTACAACCTAAAGAATGAAAATTGGGCTAATATAATTGAAGACAGAAATGTCGAAAGCTCTTATAACACATTTGTTGCCACCTTTCTCGATCATTTAAAGAGACGCAAAAAAATCATTAAAATTAAATACAATAAATTTAACAACTTCCTGGAAAAAACAAACTTTTAAGTAACAAACAATTCGGTTTTAGAAAAGGCATGAGTACGGAAAATGCCGTTCTTTGTCTTTATAGAGATGTTATAAATAATCAGAACAGTAATAACAAATGTTTGTCAGTTTTTTTGGACCTCGCACAGGCATTTGATACTGTTGATCATAAAATACTTTTAAAAATATTAAATAAATTGGGAATCAGGGGGTTGGCTTGGGAGGTTATTAAAAGTTACTTATCAGAGCGAACACAGCGTGTTAAAATTAATGAAGTAATAAGTGACCCTATAACCGTTACCAGGGGCGTTCCTCAGGGTACGGTTCTGGGTCCGATACTATTTTTAGTATACATAAATAGTATTTTCCATATTAATAATTATTAATAATTATAATTTTTCCGGTAAAATCTATTCTTATGCAGATGATACTGCATTAGTATTTTAGGAGGATCATGGAACGACCTTTATATAAAAGCTGAGAGAGGTTTAAAAATGATAAAAACTTGGCTGAACGTAAATATTCTTAGTCTTAATGTCTTAATGTAACAGTTGCTGGTCGACCGTTACCTGATTCGTTAAGGGTTTACAATACCCAGTGTTCCAGTATTAATTGTGGATGTCCTATTATTCAACGTGTAACATATGTTAAATATCTTGGTATTATGGTGGATCAGCATCTTTGTTCCAAATCAAATAAATTCGTCTAATAAATCGAACTAACTGTTGTCTTTATTATGGGTCGGATGATTTTACAAGGTCTTAACTACTTTATGACATCTTTTTTTTTTATAATTTTTCTGACATTTTTTCAACAACTATCAAAAACATATTAATTATTTTTAAAAAACAAAAACCAAAATTAACAATAACTTTTTCGTATTCCCTCTGTATGCTGCAACATACTCCCACCTAAGCAGATAAAAAATGCTAAGGATATCTGCTTAAACTTAGGCAACCAAAAACAGAATACGAAACTTATACACATAAAGAAATACAACAGTAATATTTCTATGTATTACAAAAATCTTTTCGGCACACGAGTTACCCTTCCGTAACGTGTTACTACACCTTTACACTCGGGTGCTCTGCTTTTAGTTTTCACTACTGCACTGTCACTGTCATTTTCTTCGTGTTCTGGGTTTTCTTTTATTTCTACAACAGGCAACTGCACCTCATCTTCTAATGCATCCTTTTCGGCTGACTCTTCATCGGCACTGTTCGAAACCGTCTTGGATACTACTTCCAAAGGATATAAACGTTGTATTGGACGCAACAGTTGACCTTTGCTAGTAGCCACACGTACCAAACGAACTTCTTGGTCCTTACCAGGGATTATTTCTATAATTCGACCCAAAGGCCAAGCAATACGTTTATCACAATCGTTGCCTAGAAGAACAACTTCACCAACGCGTACCGAACGTTTAGTTATATTGTTTGTTATTATCTTTAATTGTCCAAGATATTCGTTTCGAAACCGGTTGCGTAAGTTCTCGCGAAGTTTTTGTAAATATTTAATTCGCCGATTAAGCGACGACCCGTCTTTCGCGTCACAGTCAGGAACACCTTCCTGTACCAACTCTCGTGTGAACATAGCTGGTGTCAGAGGCACTAAATCCTTCGGATCACTCGAAACATAAGTCAATGGTCGAGCGTTCATGACAGCTTCACAGTCGCAAAGGAGGGTGTTTAATTCCTCTAAATTTACTCGAGCTTTTCCTAATACCTTTCGTAAAAGTTGCTTTAACATACCAATTAACCGTTCCCAAAAACCACCCCACCAAGCGGCACTAGGTGGGTTAAACTTCCACACGATTCTTTGCGCAGTGGTATAATGTAGTATAGTCGACCAGTCTAAGTTTCTGAATGCATTTTCTGCTCCCGTGAAATTTGTGCCGTTATCACTATAAATTGTTCGCGGACGGCCGCGCCGTGCCACAAAACGTCGTAATGCCTGGATAAAGTGTTGGGTCGACAGTGAAGTAACAACTTCCAAATGTACCGCTCGGTAAACCGCGCACGTAAATAAGCAAATCCAGGCCTTACTACCTTCCCTAAGAAACAAGGGACCAGCTAAATCCACGCCGGTAATTTCGTAAGTCACTGCATCCCTTACCCGATCATTCGGAAGAGAAGGAACAACTGCTTCAAACCTTTTACTTTCAAACCGACGACACACAATGCATTGATTTACGACTGTCTTTATTGCTCTTCTACCGCCCAAAACCCAATATTTTTCTCTCAAAGAACTCATCAGTGCTTGTACTCCCGAATGGCAGGTATCTTTATCCAACTGGAAAATTAATCGTCCTACAATTTCATGTTTTGGGGGCAGTACAATCGGAAATCTGAATTCGTCACTATCTTTTCGATTACAAATTTTTGTCTTTATTCGAATCAGACCGTACTCATCTTTAAAAATAGGCAACGTACTTAATCGCTTGTCTTTATCACCATCAAATGCTTCATCTTGTATTGATTTCAAAACAAACCTTTCCGCCTTCTCTTGTTCTTCCGCAGTTATTTCACCAGTGCGCTTCTGTTCATGATTTCTAACATTAAAAACAAGTCTCACAATCCATGCCATCATTCGTATGGTCTTCGAATATTGCGAAAAATAATATAAATGGAACTCATCAGTCCTCGCATCGTTAAGCATTGAAACAACTAATTTCCTTTTACGTTCGCACAAAATCTCTCCCTCGTTGTTCTCAGCTTCTCCTTGAGGATATCTTAGCGGTTCTTCCTTCAACCAATCTGGTCCCTCCCACCAATGTGACTCCAACAAAACTTTTGGAGAACAACCTCTAGAGGGTAGATCAGCGGGATTTTGACTCCCAGGCACGTGATTCCAATTATCCACATTAGTCATTTGCCGAATTTCGTTAACTCGATTGGTTACAAACACTGTCCACTCCTCTTTTCTTTTAATCCACGCCAACACAGTAGTGGAATCACTCCAAAAATAACAATTCTTGTTACCTTCAAAATTTTCTAGGATACTCTGGCATAATCTTGCCCCAATAGTAGCAGCAAGTAATTCTAAGCGAGGTATAGTAAGTTTTTTAAGTGGTGCTACCCTGGATTTGGCAGCAGTTAAATGTACTATAACTTGGCCGTCCTGCACTACACGAAGATAAATCACCGCGGAATAAGCATTCTTACTAGCGTCACAAAATACATGGAGACTCAATGCCTGATTAAGTTGTGGATCCAAACCAATCCAACGTGGTATCTGAACTTTTTGTAATAATGATAACTCTTTCAACCATTGCGAAAATTCTCTAACCGTATTGTCATCCACTTCTTCGTCCCAATTAACCCCTTTTTCCCATAAAGTTTGCAATAAAAGTTTAGGTTTCAGTGTAACCGGACAAATTACACCAATTGGATCAAATAATCGCTGCGTCACCGATAAAATAAATCTCTTTGTTATTTTTCTTTCCTTATCTTCAATGTCTTTAACATTTTCGGTGTTTACAGTCAATAAATCCTCTTCCGGAAACCACTTCAAACCCAAAACCGAAACCACTGTAGAGCTGTTTTCCAGTCCGCCAGTTGACTCCCACCCTCGTAAATCAAACTGGGCTTCACTCATTACATGTTTTGCTTCCTGAATAAACTTAGTAAGAGATTGTTTATCATGTAAACTTGTCACGCAATTATCTACGTAAAAGCTTTTATCCAGCCTCTTAACAGTATCGCTAGAATAATTCAAAATTTCGCTTTTACATTTTTCCAAACAAGTTTTTAGATGTAAGTTAATTGTTGCTCCCAGCAAAAACGGACTACTACTCACACCGAAAACCACTCTTCTGTGTCTAAAAACTCTCTGATTTCCTTGTAAGTCTACCCAAAGAAATTTAAAAAAATTCCTGTCTGATTCGCAGACACTAATCTGTAAAAAGGCCTTTTTTATGTCTGAAATAACACCGATTTTACCTTCTCTAAACCGTAAAATGATAGAAGGAATGAGTTTCACAAGATTGGCTCCTTTTTCTAAACATTGGTTTAACGAAGATTTATTTTCTTTATGAGCAGACGAATCGAAAACAGGTCGAACTCTCGTTGTCGAATTTTCTTTTACTACAGCTCTATGTGGCAAATAATGCCCTTGTTTATCGTCATCTTTCAACTCTTCAATAATGCCCTCTTTTAACCATTCTTCCAGTACTTTATTATAGGTATCGAAAAGTTGCTTTTGTTCCAGCTTCTTGCAAACAACTTGTAATCTCTTTTCCGCAATTTCGTAATTGGTAGGAAGTGGAGGATGATCTTCAATCCATGGTAACCTTACGACATATCTATCTTCGCTGTCTCTCTCAGTCGTATCATTAAAAAACTGTTGTGCTGCTTCCGTCATTTCCTCTCTACTTTTCTTTTCGCTTGGATCCTTGATCCCCAGTACATCTAATTCCCATAATTCACTTATAGCCAAATCTCTAACTAGACATGACAACGTTGCATTAAAAGTAGGTTTAACGTTATTTACTTTACCCATTACTGTCCATCCGAAAACCGTACCGAGTGCGACTAAACCGCACGACAATACGCGTTTTTCTCCCGTATAAATAGCACCCGCTATATCCGCTCCCAACAAAAGCTCTATGGGTTCATAATTATTTACGTCTTCTATACAAACGCCAAGTTGACATAATTCTTCATACGCCGGTCCATGGCTAATCGATAAAACATTATGACATATGACGTCTTGATCTTACATTTGAAAATTAAATCGGTTTCCACTAACTAATGTGACGTCATAACATTCATGCAACTGTTCTACTTTCGAACCGCCAAACAACCCGTGTACAACACGCTCTTTACGTTTAGATCGGTAGCCTAATCGTTGTGCTATTGCTTTTACGATGTACGACTTCTGCGAACCACTATCTATCAAGGCTCTAACTTTTCGAAGGCCATTCTTAGTTTCTACATTTACCTTTAAAGTTGGTAAAAGAACACTAGAATCAGTAAAATTCGAACTTGACAATGTCTCGGTTTTATTGTTGTTTACTGGTGATTTTATTTTATGAATTGTTGCTTCCTTTTTCTCATCACCTGTCTTCAGATAAGCCGGCAAATCAGCACAAATTAACGTCGCGTGTATCTTAGAGCAAATAAGGCATCGTAATTTAACCCTACATTGTCTTGCTAGATGCCCTGTTTTTAAACATTTAAAACACGCCTTTTTCTGGGATAAAATCTGTTTTTTCTGCTCAAAAGACATCCCCTGTGCCTTAAAACAATTTTCCGACTCATGTGTACCTTCACAAAACACACATTTATTCATCGACTGATTTATTAACCCCGCAGCGGTGGGTAAATTTGACCCTCCTTTGAAGAGAGACCTTCTTTCCCTGTAACACTGTTTTTCAGTTACTTTAAAAGTGTTATTGGCCGGTACAATCCCAAAACCTTCAGAAGCAAGCACGATTCTCTGCTCATTTTCTACTTCTGATCTCAAAAATTCTAGTAAGCTGTGTAAACACTATCAACATTTAAGCTCTGTACTGAACCTGCATTTGAATTACTTATGCAAATGGAAGCTGACGTACGTTGCCACACTCGCAACAGGTCCTGAGGCAAACAAGATTCTATCAATGGAAAAAGTATTGCGGCACAATTTTATGAAGTTACACCTAACGTGTCTAAAGCCCGAAGCTGTGTTTCAATTTTATCGTATAGAGAAGCAATATCTAATTTTTCAGGTGCGGTAGCATTAACTAATATCAGTTTTAATAATTCTCTTACATAAACTTCGGTTTGAAGATCTTCTCGACCAAAACGCGACTTTAAACTATCAACGATTTTTGGATAATTTTCTGCAACAGCCGGAAAACTTTCCACCAAACGACGCGCTCTACTACCCGGCACAGTAGCCTGAATTAAATACTCAATTTTATCGTGCTCGTCTATTCTTATGGCTTCATCTATTTTTTTAAACTGACCCCTTGCAGCCACTCCTTAATAGTTCCGTCAATTTTTTTAAATTCTATTACAGGTAATCGAAACTTACGTCTAGTTGCTGTTGTGTCATCACCTTGGTTCTCAACTTCTTCAGTCTCTACTGAACTCGTTTCAGCCACTGTCGCATTAGTTGGACTCAATAACTTAACACATGTAACGTGCATTGCATGATACTTTTCGATATACTGGTCACAGGCTTCCAGTTCTGCTTCAAATTCTTCCTCTACAACCTCCGCCTCTGCCAGCTGCTCGAAAATAACTTTATCTAACGCTTTCAATTCCTCAAATCTGTCTTGCACCAACCGCCACTCGGCCTCCACTGTTACCAAGCCTGTTGCAACTTGGTGAGGTTACGCGTAACTGAACTTCTAATCACAGTGCGACTTCTTTTATTCACTTCCATTTTACTGAGCTACACTCAATAAACGATAACAAATCTTGATACTGCGAATAAGAGACCAATAAAAAACACTTTTTTCCAACCCGTCCTGTCACGGTCGCCAAATGTTCCAAATCAAATAAATTCGTCTAATAAATCGAACTAACTGTTGTCTTTATTATGGGTCGGATGATTTTACAAGGTCTTAACTACTTTATGACATCTTTTTTTTATAATTTTTCTGACATTTTTTCAACAACTATCAAAAACATATTAATTAATTTAAAAAACAAAAACCAAAATTAACAATAACTTTTTCGTATTCCCTCTGTATGTTGCAACAATCTTAAATGGAATGAACATGTTGAATATGTCGGCAAAAAAATATTGTTTATGACGCTCTAGTGGAATCCGTTTTACGATACTGTATTAGCATTTGGGGAGGATTACTAGAAACTAGCCTTCATAGCTTACAGATAACACAAAAAACATTACTTAAAATTCTATTTAAAAAGCAAAAAAGATTTTCGACAGATAGGCTTTTTGATGAATTGGGTATAATGAATATAAAACAATTATATCCATATAAAATATTATTATGTATTCACAAGAATCAAAATACCATGTCAAGAATAATGCATCCTTACGAAACCAGATCCCACAACCCGTTATTACCACCTCATTGTAAAACAGTTCATACACAAAGATCAATTATCTACTTAGGACCCACAATGTATAATCAAATACCACATAATTATAAAAGACAAAAATTTCAAACATTTAAAAAAAAACATGAACTCATATATAACCCTGATCTACTATTACCATCCTCTAAATCTAAGTCGCTCTGCTTCCCCAGTATATCTCAGTTTTATATTCTATTATTATGTTGTTTCTAAATGTCAATATAATTAGTTTTAAGATTAGTTTTAGTTAAGGCTATGATTCGCACCCAAGCGCGCAAGTTTAGTGGAATCACCTAATGTTATTTGATAGAAATTTAAAAAATGTTAACAATAAAGATGATTTCATTTGATTTAATTTGATTACCTCTTAAAATAGCTTAATACTTGTTAGCCGTGAATTAATCATTTTTCTTATGGCTGAAACTGAATTGTTTTTGGCCAAAGCCGATGCGATCAAAAATATTTTGTTTTATTTGGTTAAAACCTTTAAATGTATCCGCGTTACTTTGCCGCACCCTGTATACAAAACGATCTGTCAATGAATAAGTACACTGAAATACCAATTTTAACACGCGTGATTGCTTTTAGTGCCATTTAGCCAATTTTTATTTGATTGATGATCATGATTTAAAGTGAATAACTACTTAAATAAATATTCGATAAATGACCAAAAAGGACTACACAAATTGTATTATATTTTTTGTTGTAATTAATAGTTTTAATATCCATGTAATACAGTCAAGTTAAAACCACCTTAAAACTACAAAATGTATACACTTTATTGGATTTTAGAGTTATTAGAGCACTACTTGCAAATATGCACAACAATGACGCTAGGGGCGGAAAAAAATAATAAAACAAAACAGAATCTGGTAACACTGCGTGGTATACGTTAGTTTGACATTTTCAGGACACCCTGTATTTATAAAATAGCTAGTTAAAGATATTTTAACATGTAAAATGCGCATGCCTGGTTCGCGAATAAATGTTTACCTAATAGTAAAATATCTATAAAACCTTAGTTCTTTTTCTGCGTACCGTCATTATACTGCCATGAAAATGACAAAAACGAGAATATTAATTCATAAAGGTATAAGGTAATATTAAATATTACAACTAAATAATGAGGTGCTACAAATTATATCTTTGGGCATTATTACAAAAAAATATTTACGTTTCACTTCCCAAATTGCCACAAAGGAAAATACCTAAGTGTATGAACCAGGGTGGAAGAAGAAGGTGATCTAGCTCCTATCTCTACAGTACAGAAGCATGCCTCCAGATAAGTCAGTATTTCGTTCGTTGTTCATTAGATGGCGAGTCAACTAAGAAGGTTTTACCAACGAAATCCATATATTCTATAGCAACTTAACTTACCATCCACCCACAGACTTGACTCCAATCTTGAATCATCCACTAATTCTAGTGTGCAAATCACAAAATACCTCGCTAAAAGTTCAAAGCTTGCGATATTGTCCAAAGATACAGGAATAGTTCTATTACCGGATTCCAATTTTGTCTCTCCTGGGTCAAAGTCAGCTATTTTTTACACTTTTTCATCAAGCAATTCACACGAAAGACAAAATCGAACTCCAATGTGGAAGAACTAAAAAAGATAAGGCAAAGTCTGCTAAGTCCTTGAAAGGATTTTGTCCATTACTTAATCTCCTGTACTACGTTCAGATTAAAAAAGAAGAAGAAGAAATATAAATATCTTTGGTTCTCAAGGATTTTACACAAAATCCTTGCTTGGTTCTGCCACGCGATGGATGATTTTTATAAAAAAATTTAAATGAATCTAACAATAAGGAAAATTACCCATTTAAAATTTGTCATGCAAATGTTTTTTACTTGTACTTTAAAAACCCCATTCCACCAGATTTTCTACTATACCACCAACTGCCAGATTTATTGGAAATTCCACCAAGTTGGCATTTCCACTATACCAAGCCAAGTGGCTGTTAACATGGCGGTTCTCTCTGATTTGATTTGAAATGCAAAATTTAGTGTTTGATATTATACTATCCTAAATAAAATATTAAACAGAAAATATAACTCCTAGCACTTTATTTAAGTTTTGATCAAATAAAATATGTATGTACATTAGAGTGGTTCACAATTGTATAGAGGAAAAAAAATTTAAATCTTGCCTTCACATATCTCAGTTTTCTATATGATATGTAATAATATTCGTACCAAATTTTAACCATCTAGATTGTCATTTACTGGTCGCCCAAAAGGAAAGTATCTCATATTAATAAATCCAAAAAAAAGTTGACTGTATTGGTATTTATCACCGAGAATGGTCATAAAAAACTTTTGTGTAGGTACCTATTCCAAAAATCAATAGATGAACAGAAAAGGCTCTGCCGGCATCAAGTCATGGTGCTTATACTTTTACGTGCTGTTTTATGTTCGTTTGGCTTTATAATGGCCCAGAAGTTAAACTATACAACCGCTCTCAGAAAGTGTAACCAACTATTGATTAAACTGCTTATGGCGTACTTGATATTGGCATGTATATAACGTTATAGAATCCTTTATTTAATCGTTTAAGAAAAAAAAATACTTGTAAAAACAACAACCACGAGGCGTTTATAAAGAGATTTTAAGCTTGTCTCTTCTCTTTCTTGGTGGACGAAATGCACTCCCGGCCCTACATGTCAAGCTTAATAAATGTCAAAAGCCTTTTATGTCCTAAATCAGTTTCCTTTAACAACGAGAGACATGAATAATTTCGAATATTTAGCTCTATTTGTGAGCTTTGTTTATGTGAGATATTGAAATGAACCTACACTTGAAATTAGAGCTCCCTATAACTATATTTAGATATCCTGATAGAGCAAACCCTTGGTGACATTTTTCTCTGAAAAAGTTTTAAGTCTTACTTTCTCTTAAAAACTCTGAATATGACTTAAGTCAGAAATTCAGAATAAGAATAAGTCTTGGTAGATCAGACTAATAGCAATACTTGGGAGTCTTCTGAAAGAGTTAATAAGAGAAATGGTACTTCCATTATGGTAGGTACCTATATCGATAAATATTTGATTATTGTGTAATAAAACACTAATAAAAGTATTTTTTTTTATGTTGTCATAAGCAAAGTTTATTGCATAATTACCTATATAAAAACATATGTAATAATAAAAAAGTGCTCTTTTAGTTCCACCGTTACTTCCTAAGAAGTCCCAAAAGCCAACTGAATGACTTGAGCGGGTTAGGGGTAGGAATGGACCGCGGGCTCAAAGTCCCCTCCGAAGGACTATTACACAATATTACAAACACAAATAATAATATATAATATTCAACATGTAAATCAATTATAATTTTTTACATACGATGCGCTTAACTTGCTTTCATTATTGCCACTTTACGTTTTATTTTAATAGTTTCTTTTTATAAACGCAAATATTTATCTGACCATTGTTCCAAACAATAGTTTTAAAAACCATAACACAAGTGTACTTTTGACGCAATATAGATTTTCTCAGATGACCAATTAGATCACAGCTGACCGTCATGTGATCGCATCTTCCCGCGTTTTGTAGGTAGCTCTACGTACCCAGTGTTGCCGTTTTCGGGTATTTTATGTTAATGTTATAGGTAAAATTTTGAAGAGCGTAAAATTGGGTTTTTTGCAAATTTCGATCAAAATACTAACTAAACAAATTTTCAGTAAATAATATTGTATATTTACTAAATATGCCTACATATTTTATTCTATCCTGTTACATTTTGACATATATAAAAATTTTAAATTAATTTAATTCATTTCTTGAAACAGGGCGAATGCTATAGTAAATTTAAAATATAACTAGTTCAATATAACTACTTGCGGGTAAGATCGGATATTTTGTAATTTTTGGTCGGGAACTTTCATGACATTCATCCGGCAACACTGTACGTACCTTTAAACAAAAGCCATGAAAACAGCTCGAAGATCGACCATATTTGTTTAATGAGTTCGACTGTTAAACACTTCATGTCTATGCGTTAGGAAGAATTATTATAACACCCTATGTAATCAACAAGTAATCTGTATGTACACAAACAAAACGTATGTTTCAACTGTTTTATTGTGATACATTGAAATAAACTTTGCTTAACTATGTTGTAAACATTGCTTCTGTGTTGTTATAAGCCTTATAACACAAAACCAATGTTTATAAGTACTTTGCTTTGTGTTTTTTTACAATAACCAAATACATCTCTAAATAATTCTGAATATTTATCGCTATCGGAACCTAACATGTATCTGCTAAAACTTTAGCCTAAAAGTCTTATTAAGTCCTATTAACTCCAGAAAAATCCCAAATCTTGCTTAGACTTATTCCGACTTAATAAGTGTTATTCAGAGTTTTTAAGAGAATTTAAGACTTTTAAAACTCTTATTTTTACTTATTAAAACTTTTTCAGAGAAAAATTTCACAAGGGAATGCTGGATATTTTAAACAGGAATGTTATTTCTTCTACAGATATTCTTTTTTTGATGAATCAACATTTATTCTAAGCAGAAGAAAACCTCCACTGGATGCGACCCAACGTCCTCAGAAAATCAACGTTTGGGCGGGTATTTTAATTGAAAATTTTAACGAGGCAAGATATCTGAAAATGCTAAAAGAACATGTTGTCTTAACTTTAGTAGAGGTGTTTCCAAATCCATTTGAATCTAACCTTCCCAATGAAAGGATATAGCTTCAACAAGACGGTGCACTACCTCAATATGCTTTTCCTGTTAGGAACTATTTAAATGACACCATCCCATCGGAAGAAGAGCTTTCATAGAATACCAGCAAGACCACTACATCTACAACCTCTAGACTTTTTCTAAGAGGACATCTAAAAAACAGGACGTTTAAAACACCACCTGCTAATTTAAATAAATTAAAAAAGAGAATAACTGCAAAAATTAGGAACATAACACTGGTGGTTTTAAACAAAGTGCGGGAACAATTTTACAGTAGACACTTAAGTGTCAGGAAGTGAACATTTTGAATATATATATAAGATAGAAAAACAGTTAATTTCTGAATTTTAAATTAATTTTAATATAAAAAGTCATTACATTCCACCCAGTATCGTCGTACTAAATGACCATAATGTGAGGGGGAGAACATGGCGGGAGCAAAAATTATATTTATAAGATTTGAAATAAAAAACTAAAGTTTTTACTTGTCCGAGCGTTTTTCATAAAAATCTTTTCTCATCGAATAACGAATTTTATTCCATAAGTAATAACAACACTGTATACGTTTAATTATGGGCAATCTATGTTATCCGATTCCAAGAAATGGGTGTGTACCAGATACTCATTTAGATGTTAGATGTAAAGGGTTAGGGTATTTTTAGCCTCAAATTTTTTATGCCAGTTGGCTGCAAAATATAAATAATTTTAGTTTTCTATGTAAAAATGGTACACTTGTTGAACCTCGATAAAATGCACCGTTTAATGAGTAAATTTACTTAAGTATTGGGAATTTAAACTAGTTTTTTTTATCAAATTTAGACTAGTGTCCCTTTAAATATAAAATTCAAAATTGTTATATTCTGAAGCAAAATTGCAAAACAAATTTCAAACAAAAAAGTTGTAAATAAAACGCCGTGACTGGAAGTACACCGGGAGTACGGGCATTAAACGTACATCAGGTTTGTGCGCATGCGTGTTTCCATACCAGCTGATGGTAAAATTTCGGATTTATTAGTTGAGATCATTATCTCTGGTTGAGATTAAATTGGTACACTAAGGCCCAGTTGTATAACAGTTGGTAAACAGCTGGTTAACTCTTGATATTAATTATGTATTTATTAAGCTAACTTTCAAGTATAAACATTGATTAAAATTTAATTAGGTAAGTGATTAAAATACAATTAACAACAAAATTAATGAAATGTCAGTATGAATTACCCAAACCAACCCAAAGTCAACAACCCAACCCAACCGACCCCGTTCCATTGGGCCCCCCGCCCCAATTGACAAATATGCTAAATAAGGATTTTTTTCCACCCGGTGTACGTTTAATGGCGGTACTCCCGGTGTACTTCTAGTCACTTTCAGTGGCGGCCCGTGCTAAAAATGTTTGCCTGTTCTGCAAAAAAAGTAAAGTAAAAGTAAAGTAAAATATCAGTTTAAGTAGAAAAGCTTTATTTCATTTTTTAAACTGTAATACAATGCTCCTTTCCTTCTTTGCTGCAAACTTATCAATTACTTCTTCGTTAAAGTTTTGTATTGATGCGATAAAAAAATTTTCAATAGATAACATCGAAAGAAATACAGTTTTCCCTGTTTTTATTTTTTACCCTCTAATGCCTTTTGCTTAAACACAATTGTGTTAACAGTCTGACTATTGAACAATGTTATTTATCGTACTGGAGAAACAACAGAAATTTCTGTTGTATTTATACTCGAATACGTTACTGGTGGTCCAGAAAACAACCAATTGCATATGCTGATGTGTACACGATTATTATTAAAAATTCCATAATAATATTAATAATTTGGTTATTTATGAAATTAAACTTCATTATTAAATTTATAATTAATTGGCCCTTTTTGTCAGGCGTTAACTACACATTTACCCATCGGAATGCTTAAAAAATAACAAAATCCGGATATAAATTAATTAGTGATTTAAAAAAAAAATGTGTCCCAAAAATATTATTATTATTATTATTCCTTTGTTTGTATCTGCAACAGATTTTAGAAAAATTGATTGCTTGGCATTAAAAATTATTAATTTTTTTAGTAAATTGCCATATTTTGCATAATATAATAATAATAATATAAAAAGAATTTGCATACTTATACTTGAAATGTGAGCACTTCTAATAGCAATTCAGAAATTTTAGAATTATCAAAATCGTGCATCAAAAATTTTACTCTGCGGTGAGCGTGAATTATTGAAAATTTCTTTACATATATATCGAGTCAAATATAGTCAAAACATTAACAAAGTTTTCAAAAAAAAAATTTAGTCACTAACTTCAACGGTTGTAGAAATATGAATTTTTATCCAAGAGTCCTGAAATGCGCGCTAGATTTGACTACCTATTAGGTTTAAAACCCCGTATAGCATATCGGCCCAATCAGATCAGGTAAAGGTGCGATTTCGTTGCGACGTTCAGACGTTGCGGCCCGCTGCGACGTCTGGCAGTGACGGCTAGCCGTTGCGTTCCCATGTTTTAGTGCGGTTTCGTTGCGACGTCCAGCGTTCGCGGGCGTCTACATTAAAATTATCTAAAATTATAGCAGTCGTTTGTCATATTTTGAAGCGAGTGAAAAAAAATGGATCCGAATATATTGGCAATATTTTTGCTTGAAGATGAAGAAGATTATGAAATTCCTATGTTATTAACGTCCAGAAGAAAATAAACTAACGAATTAACACTTATAAAGTTCTAATGAAAAACCATCTTGAAGCAGATAATGAAAAGTTCTGTGGCTTTTTTTGACTTAATAAAGAGCAATTGGATTTTGTTTTAACTCTTATTTGTAAAGATATAAAAAAGCAGTCCACAAATAGTGTAAAAATTCCAATTTGCCCGAAGGAAAAACTTGATTTAACACTTATATTAATATTTCGTCATCAACATTAGTACAATTTTTGGACATTTTCACTAATAAATTTACTATTATAACATTTATTTCTCTCTCCATAAATTTAAACTGCAAAAACTTGGTTAGCGTTCGCGTCCCGACTTGTTTTTGAGCAGTCGAGACGTAGCCGTCGACGGCGGGCTGCTGCGTCTTCCAGACGAACCGCGTTAACGAAATCGCTGCCATTGCAATGCATTATAGCAGTGCTCGACGGCTGGACGCCGCGGCGGGCCGCGAACGCTGGACGTCGCAACGAAATCGCACCTTAAGACGGAGTACGGACGTCGACACGGTTTCAAATATCCGAGCACTGATCTGCACTAATTGCAGCTCATTTCCACCGTAAATTGTGTAACAACGAACCTAACCGATGGCAGGCGGGGGCTAACGAAAGCTCGAGGTCGGCTTTAGCAGAACAAGGATGTTGAGCAGCTATGTAATGAACATTACTAGACGTGCTTTGCTTTAATATCCATTTGGCTAACTGGATTCGCAAAACGCGCAGCAGGCTCTTTAAAAATCTAACCATAAACTTTTTATTATTTGCTAATTTGATATTATTTAATTATAATAATCAATTAAATCATTGTTAATAATAATAGCATTAGAAATTAACATTTTTACTTTTATTTTTGGTGGTTCTGCAGCTCTGCAGCACTTAAGGACAAACCGCCCCTGGTCACTTTGTAAATAAAAATACCCTAGACTAAAATAAAAATTTAAATTTTGTTTAGATAAATAAGAATTAAAATTCGAAAATTTGAAATACATCTCGTACCATGCAACAAAATGCTCAGATTTATTTTTACTCAAAAACGGTGCATTTTATAGATGTTTAACAAGATTACCTTTCTACGTATACAACTCAAAATTTTTATATTGTGCAGCCAACTTGCAAAAAAATTAAAAACAATAAATTTGGGGCTAAAAATACCCTGTTTAATAAACTTATAAATATAACAAAAATCCTGTTATTTTAAATTTAGCATACAAATTTAAGTAAGCCTACACATTTTTATTAATTTATCTCACACAGTTTAGGAAATAGTAACAAAAAAACATCTTCAGGAACGCCCCTGTGAGGGGTGCCGACCTATGTTTATAAGACGATTTAATCCTATTTTTGTCTTTAGAAACCACGTGTAGATTATTGCACACTATTTTCGGAACACCCTGTATATACCTATGTACATTTTTTTTAAACTGCTTATCATTATGGACCACCCGATATATTATTAGGCGTACAACAAAACTTTATTAATTATAATAATTATTAGGAATACGATAACATTGCTAGTATGATAGTATCATAGTAAAAAACAAACTAAGCAGCGGCTGCTATGTCATATTTTAATTAAAGTACTAAAAACCATATTTTATTTGGTGTGTTTACTGTTGGCAAACAACGACAGACTTTAATTAAAATTTTAATTTGGTAGAACTTTAAATTGCACCAGGTAATAAAAAATAATGTGACATCCACCGAGTGTTGTTTGTTTAATGGTCAATGTTTCATAAGTAGGGATGGGATTTTAGTTATTTTACCTTTTTTTAACCGATGTAACTATTTGAAAACCAATAATGCCAAAATGTGTTTTAAAAGATTTTCTTTAATATGAACCTAACTTGTTTTCACCTTTTTTACCTTTTTTGGAGGTTTTTGCTTTTAACTACCTTTTTTATACTTTTGTTACCTATTTTTTTAACTTGTTTTCACCTTTTTTTACCTTTTTTGGAGGTTTTTGCTTTAAACTACCTTTTTATACTTTTGTTACATATTTTTTAATTTGTCAGTTTATTTTCACATATTTGTTACCTATTTTTACGTATTTTTACTTATTTTATTTTTTTTTGTTCTTTTTAAAATTTGCGCCAATATTTTATCCAGGGCGTGCAACTCAACGGTATAGAATTTTTTCTTATGGTTACAGACTGTAACAGTAACTTTCTTTACAGTTACCTTCTTTGTAGTGACTCACTACTAGTGAGCTTATGTTCTGTCATAGAACTTCTGTGTAGTGAGTGTCACTCAGTAAAACACAGTTTATTGCATGGAAATAGTTTATTGTGGGTATGTTCTGTGTTTGGGTATGCGGCTAAACAAAATTATAAACGAAACTTAAACTTTTAATGTTTTTTTTTACCTAAAATGCTGTTTTTTTAACCTAAAATGCTTTTTTTTAGTACCTTTTTAGTTACCTATTTTTCAGTTTTTAGTACCTAAATATCCCATCCCTATTCATAAGCAATGAAAAGATGAAAGCCGAGTAGAAACGTGAAATTGAAAAGGTCAAAACTCCACCAATTTATTATTGCAATATCAACTAAAACTGAAATATTAAATCATCTAAATAATGATCAATTTAATCAATTTAAAATTTGTAGCTCTATTAAAAGTAATTAATAGGACCTTTGATTGTAATCGGGGTGAGATATTGAGAAAAAAAACTAATGAAAAACTTACTTTGCCTCTAAAGCCAATGCAAAAACACCTGCCGCTTCAGGAGCCGCAGCTGAAGTTCCTGAATGGGTCGTAGTGCATTTTCCATAGAGATCTGTAGTTGCCTAAAATAGAAAAATTAAATATTCTTTAGCTTGGTTATAATATTTATGAAAATATAAATTATTATTATTATTATTCACTACCGCCGTGTTACAGCTGGTCGCTTGTAATAAACCAACTTCGACATCTTTTGAACCCATAAACTGGCGTAGGAAATAAACCTGAGTCACTGTAAATAAAGCCACAAAAGTGAACCAGAGGCCACTTAACTGGCCGTACTCGCGTTATAGACCGAAGACAACATACAAGTCACCACTTGTGACCCAGCTAAATTTATATTGCACCTAAGTAAGATTAAATTTGAGGCCAGTATAGTGGCCGCGGTTCATGGTGAGCCAACCGATTGGCCACTATACTGCCGTGCTTAATGAAAACGCCGCGGCGCGCCGTAACCAACAATTTTGCGATTTTTGTTTTGCGGCATTTTCTACTAGAACAATTCATCCTGCGTCTATCCCCGGTACTGAAAAAACCGTATCTATATATATACGTTTTTTTGAGTACCGGGGATAGACGCAGGATGAATTGTTCTAGAAGAAAATGCCGTAAAACAAAAATCGCAAAATTGTTTGTTACGGCGTTTTCATTAAGCACGTGTTAAGGAGTAATCCCCGTTAGCGTACAAGACACGTGTTTGTCAAAGGCAAAATTTTGAACTCTTAAAATGAATTAGTCAAAAATAATTAATTTTTGGTCATATTTGACTAATTATCAAATCCGTCACTAATAAATAGTCAAATTCCATTGAATGAAATATTCAAAAAGGCTTTAAACGCATGTCACTTCTTTTGACGACTAAACTCATGGCAAACTGGAATTTTTTTAAACCAATATAACCTCGAATTCTTATTCGGGACCACTTAAAACCCCACTATACCAGTTTATATTGCTCTTAATTATACGGGGGGTCTCAGCTGGCCATATTTTAATTTTTTATGCCAAAAATTCAGAAAAATACTTTTAGAGAAGTATTATTCGGGACCACTTCCAACCTTATTATACCAATTTTATCGCTCCCAGTTTTGAAAACAAAAAATATTTTGTGAATAATAGTATATTATTACAAGAGATAATGCACAATGATGATAAAATGAATAAATTCTAGTGAATAATGCACATTATTTCGAGTGTAATGCTATGTTGTTTCTACTCCAATTAAGTAATTTTAAGTAATAACAAAATTTATTTTATCCTCTTATTCTACCTATTTTAAAGCAAGGGCGTCGATAAGGGGGGGTAATGGGGGTAATTACCCCCCTCCCAAGATAAAAGTCCTAAGAAAAAAATTACTACAAATATAATTTATGAATGCAAGTCGCCCTGTATGAATAGTTTTAAAGTGTGGCATAATAAAAGCCCTATTTTATTACTATTACACTAGATGGTGGTAAGATAGATATTGAATTTAATTCGCAAAATCGCAATGATTTCGCATCTTGTGGACATAACCTATAGTGAACGTCCCCCCCAGCATCCTTAGATTAATAATCTTACGCATCTTGTGCGCATAATTTTATTAGCTTAGCGGAGCGCGGCCATCTCGCGGGAGCGGCAATATCACTTTGCACACAGGATTTTTTCTACAACCGGTGTTTCTATAAAAATGTTTGGTAAAAATTATTAACTATTGATAACCTCAAATTTTACGTTTGTGTCAAAATTCGCAAATACACTACATGTTTATTTATTATGGTTTCCAGAATAACTAAGCGAGCGACAAAGTAAAAACACGCTCGCTCCTCGGAAAAGTGTAACTTTGCGCTTTCTTTTGAAGGCGCAAATTTGTACTTTTCGCTTGGTTTTCGTATAGTTGCCCCTCGTATATATAAAAAATATGACATCTGTTACCCTTACTTTTTCCCAATTTAAAATCCGATTGGTTTAAATAACAGGGAATATTGAAATTACTGATGTTTAACAACGTGAATAATGAGTAAGGATTGTTAGGCGGGCGGTTATAGTGGTTATCATTATTTAAGAAAAAAACCCAAATTATGTCAATAATATGAAATAGGATATTTTATTAATACCAAATGATTCCCGAGCAACATATAAATTTACAACAGGGTAGGTAGAATAGACACGGAGAGTTTACCCACCACTTTCGTGCGATTCTCTTTACGTCAACAAGTGTCTTAAGTCGGCTTCCGCTTTTTAAATTATTGTAGAGCAATATTAATACTCGGATCTACCGCTAAACGCTAAACTTTTATGCCAACTTCGATTTTCATGAATTAAAATTGCTACTGATATAGTTAACGAAGCGAGTTTTTGACAAAAAATATTGTGACTAGAAAAAATGTCCATTAAAAACAGAGTTTTTATCTAACAACTATACCGATTCTTCATTTGCAACCTATACATAGGGAAAATAAATTGTTAAAGTGGACCAGATAAGACGCAGTTAGCACGAAGCGAAAATATTTGGACGAGACTGATATGCGCCTTAACACTTGACCTTGAAGCATGCATCGAGTACATCATTGTTGTTTTGCATTTGTGAGGTGTAACTTGGTAAACATTTAAAAATAAAAAAGAAATTTAAAATGAATCCCTATACTAGAGGAAAAGTTTGATATGATTTGTTGGGTAATCCAGGGAAACGAGATATCTTTTCTCTTTGAAATACCGGGATAGACCAATTCCTATATCAAAAATATTTCCTCTACTTATGAAAATTTAAAAACAAAAAGATGCCTTTTACTATGCAAATGCCATAACTTTCCTAAGAATAATGACGAGGCTGAATTGCAGAAAATAATGGTTTGTGCAATGGTTCAACGAGATTCCACCGTTTTGGTTCCAAACTTTCTGAAGACACCGGAGCCAGTGTGGGCAAAGACCATAAAATATAAAAAAAAATAATCCTACAAATACTAGGTTCATCAGGATGTTTATGATGATGACAATTACCTCAGAATGGAATTCTGTGAAACCGTAATGGAAATGGCAAACGAAAATCGGGAATTTACAAAAAATATTGTTTTCACGGATGAATCCACATTTCCACTTCAAGGAAAACACAATCCGTCCATTCTGCGTTACTGGGCCATCGGAAATAAGTACCGGCAGTTAAATTTGCCTACTCAGTACCCAGAAAAATTAAACTTGCCATATTTTCTTGTTTTTGTCACTGTTCTTTAAAGAAGAAACTTTTTTTTCTAACATTTTAATTTTACTTTTAGGTAAATATTTATTTGTTCAATGCAAATTGATGACTGGGCTATTTTTACAAGAACTGCAAAACCACTGACCTTCTTTAATTTTTTCCTTGATTTCCTTGATATTTAAGTTTACCACTTTTTACATTTTAAACACTATAATACGTATTTGCCCGTATAGTTTTAGCGCATTTAAAACACGTGTTACTGCTAGAAGCCATAACTAATTATTATATAAATTATGATTGTAAATTAAATAACCATTTGCAAAATACTCCGGTAGTTAAATTATAAAACGTATTTAATTAAAATTATTAAGGTAAAATTGTGCACCAGTGCCGATACAGACGGGCAGACGAGCAGGCGTGCTCTTGAACGAATAATTAATCATTATTACTGAATAATAATAATAATAATAATAATAATGAAAACAGCGTAGGAGTGTAAATAAACCAATCATAAAGTAAGAACGTCTCAAAACATAAATAAGCATAAACTTAAGAGGCCAGCCCCAACAAAATTAAAAAGTTTAAAACTTAACGAACGAAACTAAAATAAACAACCAGTTCCGATATTTGCTATAAATAAACATAAATATAAACCACCACTAAACACAGTAATAGCCTGCTGCGAGCCGTTTAAGAGAATTTAAAAAAAAACAACAACAAAATTATATAGAATAAATAATATAAATGCAACGTCTAATTGTTGAAAAAGAAAAGAAAACGTAAATACAATTTTTATTACAAAATGAAGACAACTATCTATCGATAGTTCTCGACCTCTACACTGAAAAAACGGCTTTCGCACAGTGGGGCAAACAGTTGCTCACAATAGTTTCCGAATTTTAGCAGACTACAAGACCAGCAAGAATAGGTCCTAGCAGCGTACTAACCAACCAAACCTCATTCTTAAACCCCAAATGCATTGGGGCATTACTAAATTTCTGGTTGAGGGGGATTCCAGATTGTACTTAGTTTTGGGTCAGTCCAATGTCACCCAAAAACCAAAATGTTTTCCCTCCTTGTCCCGCAAGCCTAAACCGGGCGTATGACCCAGCACGGCGACAAAATTCCGTGAGGGGACTTAACCATCGAAACTGTCATCCACGACCTCCTAGAGAGATTTACCAACCGGAGTAAAAATTTGTATGAGAACTGAAAGATGGTAAAAATAACTCTGGGAGATCAGTGTAGCGCAATGCCGATGGGGCCAGCCATAGGTTCTTATACTTATACCTACCTGCCTTATCTAACAAGCTGTCACTGATCCTATTTAAAGAGTTCTGCAAACTAAAATTATTGTATTCGATAGTACTTAGGTAAGATATTTAAATATTTTATGAAAATTACCATTAGTCCATTCAAATTAAAATATATAAATTATATATATATATATATATATATATATATTAGGGTGGCCCAAAAAAAAAAGAATATTTTTTTTCTCTCGTCTCTTGTGAAAATATGTTGGTTTGTCATGTTTTAAGAGCCCTGTCAAAAGATCAGCTCCATTAAAATTTTTTTTGGGGTCGCTCAAGATTTTTAAAAATTTCCAAAATCGTCAAAAATTTGATTTTTTTTTATTTTAATTTTTTTTCTCGTTCCGATATTATTTTTTTAATTTAAAAATAATAATGATTCTGAAAATTTCAAATTAATATTTTGATTTCTAAAGGTCGCTCAAGATTTTTTTAACTTTAAAAGTAGAGTATTTTGAATGTTTTTGAGCAACCTCTGAATATAAATATCAACGAACTTTTAGCGACCTTTAGAAATCAAAATATTGATTTGAAATTTACAGAATTTTTATTATTTTTAACCAAAAAAATAATATCAAGACGAGAAAAAAAATTAAAATAAAACAAAAATTCAATTTTTGACGATTTTGAAAATTTTAAAAAATCTTGAGCGACCCCTAAATTTTTTTTAATATGTACTATTTGCTATACTATCCATTTTACCAAAATACAAAACAAAACAATTTTAACAATTAACAAAAATGAAAAAATGACAAATGCTTTAATTGTTGTTAATTGTTAAAATTGTTTTGTTTGGTATATTGGTAAAATAAATTTACTATAGTAACAAATTGTTACTCGACTGTTAAATTGAAATTTTTTTACCTACTCTTAAACTTTTAAGTATAAGTATAAATTTACCCCCTCTACACATAGTGTCTTAAATCATCACCTATTTCTATGTAAATTAGGCTTCCTTTTATATTAAACCTATTTAATTTAATGTACACAACATTAACTTTACCTTTATTTCTGAAAGTTGAAGCCAGAGTTGAGGAACAGATTTTTTTGGCATGGGCAGTTAACTAAGATGGCTTTTTCTTTTAAATTTTTTATTTTGATAGCAAAAACGATATTAAAAACGCTTTAATGCAGGCGGTGCGCTTAATTAACAGGTAACCCCTTTTGAATTATATGTTAAATCAGATGAGGCTAGCCTCCCATACCGAATAAAATTTCTAATGGACAACAAGCATCCTAGACGGTCGGCCGCGATTGTAAGGCTCTTAATGAATGGATTTTGAATAGCAACAGAAGCTTCGGAATCGCATCCAACTCTGTGACGCAGTTCAGTATAAGGTCCGATTGCAAACCGCGCGGTTCAGTATTTTTATTTATTAATAATTAATGATATTATTTTAATATTAATTATAATAATTACTATTTACAATTATTGTAAATTAAATTACAATTTGGTAAATATTTATTAATTATATTATAACACAGTACGACAAAATTTGATTTTTGGTCCCTCCCATGAAAAATTTCTACAGATACGGCGTTTTTTCACATCACGTCATAATTTTTTTTTAAGGGCCATCCAATAAAATGTTATTCACACTATTCGCGACATAATTTAATAGACTCGATAACAGCTGGACTGCATAGTTAAAAAAATATATATTTACTAAATGGATAGGAAACCATTATAGATGCATTTTAAAATTATTTTAATCTTATACAGAGTTTTGCACATTTATATATATATCAAACGGTTTATTTTTAAACCAAGTAACAAAATGTTTCAATTTTAAGCCAATCAAAATGCTTTAAAGTCGGGTAATTAAAATTTTTATTTATTCAATTTTTTGTAAAAATTGAGCTTTGTTGAATTAACATTTTTAAAAAAAATTAAAAGATATTTAAATGAATTGATTTAAGTCTTAAAGCAAATGTACCTAAAACATATTTAATTTAAGTAAAAAAAGTATTTAAGTATACAAAGTCAATTGAAACAGCAAAAAAACAAAAAATTTACACATCTGCGGCATTTATACATAAAAAGCATTGTTTTCAAAACAATCTTTATACGAGGGTAATACTTTTTTTTTAAATGTTAAATAAAAACATTATTGCAGCGATAAATCGATAAATTTTTCATATTAATTTTGATTGTTGAGTTAACCATCCATTTGAAATCAAAGAAAAAATGCAGTGTCCGAATCGAAATAATTTTTGTTATGTATGTGGTTTATTTGCACCTCCAAGCCATATGCGAAATATTACAAAAAGTGTAGTAACAGCTTTTGAAGACTATTTTTTGGTGACGTATATACCAAACTTATGGTATGTACCAGAGGTTTTATGCGATTATTGTTACCGTTGTTTGCATGGATTGCAAGATAAAACACACAGTATGAAATATGTTGTACCAACAATTTGGCTTCGACCCGTCGCGACGTACCGAACACGCATCTGACCAGTGTTATTTCTGCATGTCAAAATTAAAAAGTTTTGCATTTCGGTACAATACTAGAGAGAAAATTGATTACGCCGATGTAGAATCCGTCACTCTCGCAAGAGTGCGATCTGAAGATTATCCAACTGCTCCTTCAGAAAACATATGTGAGGATAAAAGTAAAAGATCTTTAACACCCAGTACAACCATTTTTTCCGAGATGGAATCTGAATTTATTCCCTGGGTTATAAAGTACATTTTATAACACAGGACATGAAAGTACATATGTCACTGAAAATACATTTTCTCCATGCTCATTTGGACTATTTTCCACCAAATTTGGGCGATTTTAGTGACGAACATGGCGAACGTTTTCACCAAGACATTTTAACAATTGAAAAACACTTCAAGGGAAAAGACGTCAGGCATTTGCTGGGTGAATATTGCTGGTCAATTGTTCGAGATTCTGAAGCAATATACAGCCTGTTCAGAATAAAACCGAATATATCTCGCCTCCCTCCAAGGCGCGTCACAGTTGCTTGTGTGATAAACGACATGACGAAAGGTCGAGCAGGTAAGGACTTAAAAAATTAAATGATAATAATGCAAAAAATCTCATTAGCGATGCAGTCTATTTGCTTAGCTACTGTGTCGCGCGTTGGAGGGAGGCGAGGCCACGCCCCCGGTTTTAGTCTGAACGAGCTGTATAATCGTCAAACTAAACGACCAAGATTTTATTCCAACATGTATTGAATATAAGATAAATACAAAAATGTGTTTCATTAAAAAAAAAATAAAAAAAATTATTTAAAAAAAATCAAAATATAAACTTTTTTTATATTTGTTTTTTGTATTGTGTAAAAACATACAATATTTACAAAAAAATATATTTTTAACCGAGTAAAAAATGTACAATCTGTATAAGCATAAATAATAGGAATGACGGCTTAAAATTTTTTTATGACGTGATCTCGTGAAACTGTGAGACACGGGTACGTTTTTTTTACCTCTATTTTCAAAATCTGATAAAATTTTTCATGGGAGGGAAATTGTGTTGTACTGTGTAATATATGAAACACATTTATAATAATTAAGGTAAAATGGTTAAACATTTAGAAGAGGCTTGCTAACTTTATTTAAAGAGCTCTGCAAATTAAAATTGTTTATAGACACACATGTACAGATATTTAAATATTTTATACATTTTTTTATTTGTACATTCAAATAATAACCAATTTAAAAATATATAAATTCAATATTTGTATTTTATAGTAGTAAATTGCTACTTGACTGTTAAGTTGAATACCTAGGTGTTTCTTTGCAAATCGGGTTTCCTCTTATTTTATATTGTTAAATATATAAAATACCTAATCTATTTAATATCACAACCTAAAATTTATTAAAATACAATCTTACCACTCCTGTATTGGGGTCTTTTGCTCCGTTACTAAAAGTTGAAGCCAGAGTTGAGGAGCAGCTTTCGTCGTAATGGGCATTTTGCCCATCATTAATCGCGCTGTTAATACTGATGGTCCACATGCTGGCTGCGTACCCATCGCAATTACAATCGTCGTCCTCACCTCCATCACCACTTGCCCAGACGTAGATGTTACCCAAACCGTTGCGTCCCTGAAAAATGGAAAATAGAACTTTGGGTAAAAATTAATACAAACATGTTCATTACAGGTAATTAATGAGTACTGGCGAAACGCCGTTGTATATACAAAAAATATATACTCGAGTGCTCTTACCCCTAACCCTACCCCCCTACCCTTACTTCCTAAGAAGTCCCAGAAGCGAACTGAATGGCTTGTGCGGGTTAGGGGTAAGAACGGACTGCGGGCTTAAAGTCGCCTCCAAAGGTCTAAAAAACCATGGGGTAAACACAAATAAACAACCATATCAATGTGGGACTCGGCTTATAGTCAGCAGCACTAACCACTATTCCACCGTCGCGACGCGTCGCCGACGCGTCGGCGGTTGTTTAAATATGAATTAGGTGGAGGCTCGGGTGAAGGTATTTGGTGCTAAAGTGCTGAACAACCTCTGCATTACTAAAAAGTAAGGCCGTTTGCCTGTATTCAGAAGCGATTTGGATTTTTAAAAGACGTTTTCGGTGTAAAACTGTATACTATACAAAAATTATGCTAATATGTATCATATATATATATTATTGAAATGAACCAGTCAAAACGTTTTCTGTGTATATGTTACAGTCAATGTGTAAATTCCGTAAATGTTTATGTTATCGGCAATGTAAAAAATCCGGCAATGTGCGAACTCTGCAAACTGACCAAAATACCGTGTTATTTTAGGCAATCTGCAAAATGTCTGATGCGATAGTCAATCTGGGGATTAAAGGTTTTACTCCTCACAATTACTAGGCAGAGTGCGCAATACTTTTACTTCGCTTTTCAGTCAGAGATTCTTAATGGCGAGCGGGAAGAAAAGAATATTTTTTATAGAAATTGAAAACATTATGCAGTCAAAACCTAACCCAACCATTATATAAATAACAAGTGTTTGTTAATTTAATTTTTGTTTGTAGTTTTTCTTTTCTAAAAACAAAATTCAGTTTTTCAATTTTACATTTTTCTCGTAAATTAGTGTTGCACACACTGTCTAGTCAATGTGAGAAGTAAAAACCTTTAATCCCCGGATTGACTATCGCATCAGACATTTTGAAGATTGCCTTAAACAGCGTAGTAAATTCGCTGATTGCCCAAAATGGTAGTAATTTTGCACAATGTCTGGTAATTTGGTCTGTTTGCAGAGTATTTAGACATTTCGCACATTACCGGATTTTTACTTTGCCGGTAACATATACACTGACTAGCTAATTTATACAATAACTGATTTTTATACGTAAATGTATTCAAAAGCTCAATAACTTAATTACCTACTTACTAGTAGATGTTTACATTGACTCTACAAAGGTAGCAAAAGTGTACATAAACTAAAACTAACCAACCCAACAAGCAAAATCAACCAACAGTAAATATATGTTACCGCCCTCGGTGGTGTAGTAGTTAGCACTGCGGACTACAAGCCGAGAGGTCGTGGGTTCGAATCCCACCAGGGGTATGGTTGTTTATTTGTGTTTGTCATTGTGTATTTCTGTAATTGGGCCTGGTGCCTGTTGAAAGCACATTAAAAATAATAAAATAAAATAAAATAAAAATAAATAAAATATGCATTTACTAGTAAAAGTACAATTTTACTAGTTTTTCACGTAAATATATACACTAGCTAGTTTTTGTATACATCTACTGTCCTAGGTCTTGAAACAAAAAGGGGCGGAAACAGGATGGAAAAGGGAATTAAAACGGAACGAAAACGCGACGGCGTAAACAAAGAAACATTCGTATAATATCTGTGGGTAAAAGGCATAAGGGAATAAGTAAAAAAAGCAATTTTTCAGTAGAGCCCTAAAACGTATTTGGGTCGTTCTTTTTTATCGACAATTACATGTCTCCTTGAAAAAATAAATCAGTTATCTACCGTTCTATGTTTTTCCTGATTTTTTTTTCGAGCAATATATAGTCACAATAATATAATTTATCCAATGGTATATTATACATAACATAATAACATAATAATATAATTTATCCAATGGTATATTATACATAACATATATATAACATCTTAAACATTGCATTTTTATTTCTATTAAATAATTGTGACATATTATTCAAAAAAATGTGACGGTGTTATATAACTTACAAATTTCTCTGCGCCGCCTACTGTCACGTAGAATTTCGCCGTATTGAAATAGACAAAAATAGGTGTTTTTATTCTACTTGAGTATGACAAATATTAAAGTAAAACATTTTTGTGACGGAGGTGTTTTGGGGACACTTCGGTTTCGGACAAAACAAATTCAAGTAATTATTGGATTCAAATTTTGTATCTGGAATATATGAGCAATAATTTACAAAACATTTCACTAAAGAAAAGATGTCAATATATGTTTTTAATATATCCTTAAATTAATTGCATTATCGGTAGTGGATATTCACAGATTATCTGATTCTTAAATAAAAAATTATTTTTTTCTAAATTAAGGCAAATATGTTTTAAGGCTCTACTAAAAAATTGCTTAACTTTGACTTATTCCCTTTACCCACAGAGATTTATTATTTTTCCTCGAGCGAAGACGCAGGCGATACAGGTAGTATGCTTTACCCATAAACTTTTTTTCTGATGATCTTAGTAGAAAATGCCATATATGGAAATGCTATGTGACTGTTGCTTAGTGAAAATTAATCTCTCTTTTGCACCCTTTGCATCCCAAAACAGTTGTTATCAAAGAACAATTAAGGAATTGTATGCTCTACACACAAGTCCTACTTTGAAAGTTGATGCGGAAAGCAGTATTTTGAAAACTTGACAATTAATGCATTTTAGGTTACATCAAAATATAGCCAACGAAAGAAATCATATTTATACGTTTACCGATTATGTTTAGGTGCTAAAAATTAAGAAATCTTGATAGTATCACAATAACAATGGTTGTTTATTTAGGGCAATAAAAACTTTATGAAATATAAAGAAATAAAGTGTATGGTGCCAAATAAGTATTATTTTTGTACCTTTATTTACATATCTGGTAATATTTTATAATAAATAAACTTTTATGATAAACTCTTTGTTACTTATTATAACCATTTAAATCGACTTTTCCGAGTGTCGATATTACGTACGCAAGGGTGTCGATATTTGGTTCAAGACAAATTTTCCCATGTCGATAACTGGGTCAAATGATACTTTTCAACAAATTTATTTTTTGCATATAAATTACGCATTGCTATTTAAAAAATAAACATTGCAAAGCAATAATCAATATTATAACAATCCACAGTAAAATTGTTAAACGTGTAACTTTAATATGCAAATTTTTATAACGATATGATTTAGAAAAATCTCTTAAGGTGTCGATAATTGGGACGTTTACCTTAGGTATTTATTAAAAATAAACATCTGCGTCATAGAAAAATAATGTCTGTTTAAAAGGTAAGGTAATATATTAAAACAAAAGATATCATCTATATTAGTAATTTTAAGGTTAAAAAACAAAAATAAATAAGTATTTTGGAGGATTTAAAAGAGGTGTCTATGACATTAGACAAAAGTGAAAGACATTATTCAACTATTTTTTTGTCTTTACGATACGGTAGATACAAACAAATGACATTTTATAGGTTAATTTTGTTGTTTTTGTATTCAAGTAAACGATACATTATGGAAACAGACCTGTAATATTTTACGGGCTTGTATAAAAGACCTGTAAAGTTTTACAGGCTTGTAAAAAAGCAATTTATGAAATGACACATTTGACACATTCATTGAAATTTTAAATTTGAAAATCCTTATCTAAAGGTAAAAATAAAAGTTTGTAATTAATCTTTACTGTAAAGATTCATTTACAAAGCTTGACACGAAAATAACTATAACACAGCCAAAATTTAGGTCAAGCATGGCCAACCAATGAAGTAATTACACAGGGAATTATCCCTTTTCGTGAGATAATTACTAAGACATTGGAGACCTAAATTGTATACTAAACTAAGTCTGTAGAATTAATCTTAATAATAATATTATATTCTTATTATTTGTAATAGCTTTTTTTGCAATGCAATTAATACTTTCCAATTAATTTTTAATTTAATTTTTAAATACATAAATGGGCGTTTCTCTGTAAACTGGGCAACTTGAAGTAAGAAATTGTCTAGGCAAGTTTTTTTGTTATATTTTTGTTGTATTTAATAAATGTAATTCGAGGAATAAATATCGGTCTATTTATTAGTATACGGCAGATGAACCAAAAATAGTCCTATTACTTTGGAAAACATTGAGCATTTTCTGAAAAATCTATACAGGGGACTGTTTATAAAATCCGGAGACAAAGTTTAGATGACTTTTTTAGAATTACAAAATAATAATTATAAAAAATAAATAAGTCACAGTAACAAGCAAACAATATTGGTTGAATAATTAAACAATTAGGTTGATTCCAATAGTTACTGTCTTTAATTAATTTAGTCTGAAGTGACCATTTTGCTTTGGTGACACGTCAGGGGACTGGTTTTTAAGGAATATAAAAACGATTTTGATACATTAAAGTTTATTTTATTGGATTTTGAACGTCGAGCAAAGGTAGATTAGGTTATTATCTTTTGAAGTTATCTACGAAATATTTATGATCTGTTATTTTTCTAAACAATATTAGCTTGAGACAATGAGTTGCCCAGTTTACAGAGAAACGCCCAAATACTATCCAAAATTTTAAATTTAAAAAATTTATAATAGAAAAATTAAATGTGTTAATAAATTTTACGAAAACCCAAAAAAGAAGCCAAAAGACTAAAATTGCAACTTTTTGGCGGCCATTTTTAGTCTTTAAATTGCAGGTTCAAACCATATTATAATAACTCTTTGTTTTCTGATAGGTGTTGGTGTTACAAAAATGGCGAATGTGCCGGGATTAATGAATTGTATGGGCAAGATAAGATAAGATCGACTTTCAAAACAATATAAAAACACATTATTGATTAATTTTATATTTTAAGATATTAGGACAATTTAAATTTTCCACTTATTTTATTTTTTCCCTTTTAAAAGCGCCTTATAATAGTAATATATTAATATATTTATATATATTAATTAGGAAAGCTACCTTCAACCGTTTTTTAAATAAATATAAAAATTAAGTTTTGCTTTACGCTATCTTGAGAACTACAAATTATTGGTCAAATTTCTTTTTAGATCATTGATCGGCATTAAAATGTGCAAATTTCTTCTAATTTAATCATATATGTATTTCTCTCTATGAAGGTATATATTATATACATACTTTTTTTTAAGTTTAATAATTTAAGAATTGAAGGGGTAAGAAGCAAAAGGGTACAAGTGCAAAGAAGGGTAGTGTAGTTATTAACTATTAAAGTTTTTTCAATAAACCAAAAATATGAATTTTTTTTATTAATCAACATGCAGAACTACATAAAATTTTCAAGTTATGAGAAAGTTAACAAAAAAATGGAATCTAAACTACTCAATTCTGCACTTAACTTATTTTCATGCTAAAAGGCACTTGTACCTTTTTCTTACCCTTTCAATTGTTGTAAAATCCATTTTAGCAGTGGGATGTTAATTTTAATTTCAAATAGTGAAAAAGAAAAAGTCTATTTAAAAAAGACGACTACACTGTTCAAAATTTCATGACCATTTTAACACCAAATTAACACCATATATGGTCTATATCGATACAAACCAAAATGGTGTTAAATAGGGTTCGTTGGTCCGGTGTTAATTTGAATACTAAAATGGTGTAAATTCAAATACTAAAATGGTGTAAATTTAACTTTCACACAGTATTAAAATAAATTTTACCTGGTGTAAATTGAACTCCTTTTCAGTGTTAAATATTATGTGTTTGTGGTCAAATTAAATTAAAAATTAATTAATTAAATTAAAAAAAAGGAAACAGGAAGTTCCTTGACGCATTTCTAGTACATTACCAGTGGTATTATTCCAGAAAATGGAACCTTCAACTCGCTAGAGATAATGTTTTTAGTTCGTTCCACTAATTTAAAATACTTCAAGTATTGACAGCTGTTTCCACCTATTTAAGGTCTAGTATCGAACAACTTGTAGTGTCACACCAAAGCAAAGGACAACATGAGCTTATATATTCTTCATGTAAGTCAACAGAGGCGAGATTTAAGAACATCACGTGATCCACAAATAAATAAATACTTATGGGTCAACTAAATTAATATAGTTAAATGAACTATTTCTTTTTTTCTGTGTAGGTGCACTTCTCAAATATTTTTAGATAAACACCGTTTTGGTGTTCATTTTCAACCATAATTCATGGTGTTATATTAACACCACTTGGTGTTGAATTTTGACACCATTTTAGGATTACTTTTTACACCACAGATATTTTAAACAGTGTAGTTTCACCTGTATGGCATCTTAAAACAAATAAACTTACTAGAAAAAGAACACATAAACAATAACAATCACAATTTATATTTTGGATACAATTTAACATAAAGATTATGCACAAAAAGAAAAAAATATAAACTAACTTTGTTGGTAGCATACCAACAAATAAAAAATAGCAATATTCAATTTCGAGCAAGTTAATTTATTTTATACACTAATATTTAAACACAACCCAAAAATGAAAACAAAAACCATAACATAACCTCAGTTAATTTTCTTGGTGTTACGTCCCCATTTACATAGTGTAAATTAATTCTAAAGTATTTTTTGATGTCCTCTTTATATAATATAATACATATAATTTTAACATTGATGTGTAAGTATATTTATTAAGTATTGTTATTTCTACGTTACTAATTTAATATATTTTGTAGAAACCCTAAAGATGCCTTACATTAGTTTTTTTAAAATACATTAATAAGCAGGGATTTTTTTACTATACAAAAGTTAAACATCCTTGGATAAGATTGGATTGACTATCGGATACCTGCGCTACTGAGCCCTAAAAGGGTTATTGTAGTTTCCGTAACTCTTATACCACTGTATCCAGATTGCTTGTAGCGAGAAGCTTTCGAAGCTTGGATAGTGGTTTCCTGATGTAGTCTTCTGGCGTTGACTTCTGACTTCTCATCTGACCGAAACGCATCTCACACAGTGCCTTATAGTGGCATAGTATGTGCAGTGGAATTTCGTCCTCTCGGCAAAACCTGTAGGCCTACATGTGGCCTTGTCTGCCAGCCCTAGGTGCTTCATGTGTTTGTTACAGGATCCAGAAATTTTGTTTGCAGGGATCACTTACCGTGAGTTGAGTTTAACAAAACAGTATTATTTTTACACTTATTTATTTTTTAGATGTAAAAAATGCAATAATAAATTGGAGGGGTCAAAGCAAGAATTGCCTTCTATGGTATGCCTTAGTTTGGAGTAATTGCTCCACCAATCGTAAGAATTCTTGTTTCTACATTCCTTAACATAAGTCTTGGCTGTGAATACTGCGACTCCACAGAACGGTCCTAGGCCAATGATCGTACTTGATGAGCCTTCTCGGGCTAATTCATCTGCTGCCTCGTTCGCTTCTATACGTCTATCCCCTTGTACCCAAGCTAGGATTATCTTGTTTTTGTTACCCAGTTTGTAAAGCGGGTGTGCGCAACTAGTTTTGACCTAATTTTTATGGCATCTAACGCCTTTAGTGTTGCTTGACCGTCAAAGTAGATGACGATCGATTTGTTTGCAAATTTACGATTTAACGCCAAATCCCTAGGAGGTACATAAGTATTATAAAGTGTTTACTGTTCGTAGTGTGAATTAAAACACGCACTGGTTAATTAACGAACTAAACGATATATTTTTATAACTTATATACACTTAAAACACTTAGAAACTATAAAACTAACTAAACACTTAATTACTAATTATTTATATATCACTTCTGTACTAGAATTAGGTATATTTATTTATTTCGTCGCGAGTACCAAAGCTTGACTAACTGCTCCATGCTGCGCTGTTCCTTATATATTCAGTGCCTACGTGACACTAGTCACGCAAGCGCCTTCTCGAATATTACAGCGAGCTCCACACCGCTCTCGATTGTTCGAGCGCTGACTCACCGGCGATGACTCATCATTCCGAGATCCAGAGCGGTACCCGCTACAGTATTAATGTGCACTATTTACACAGCCACTTGGATATTTAAACAAAAAAAATTAGTATACATGAGTGGGGAACAAGGTAAATGATTTCACCAGGATATAAAAATTATGGAAGACCGCTACCAAGAAAGATGGGATCAGCACATGATGGCAGATTACTGCTGGAGTTTAAAAAGGGAAAAAAATGAACGAAACTTTAAAATATTACGGCTTATTTTTCGAAACGTCTTTTTTTCACAAACACATTTAATTTAATTACAATTTTATATTATCCAACGTCAAAAATATATTTTCAGTAAATTATAACCAACTTTTATGTCTCCATAAAACTTTATAAATTTTAAGCTTGAAAAGCGGACCAATGTCTCCATTATATCAATATTTTTTATGTATTTCTGATTCCTATGTAAGTGTCGATTTCATAATTTAAGTTAGAATTTTAACAGAACATTAAATTTCATTATAAAATAAGATATCTATTTTCGAACAAAATATTTTTGGAATATGAGTCATTCGAATCAAGTGGGTGGAAACACCATCCTGATTACGAAGCAATAAGTTCCTAAAATAGCCCTGAATAAGGGCTAAACGAATTTACTAATTTTGCTATCAAACCAATAACTGCATCAAAATCCACTGATGCAGAAAATTCATCATTATACCTAAATGCCCTTAGTAATTGGCAATAATGTTGACATACTGCAATTAATGTCGGTTAGCCGGTAAATGAACATAAACTAATTGATTATTACCTAACTCTAGTCAATGACCATAATGCGATTAAAATATATGGTAAGAACTTACAGATTTTTTACTTTGCTGAATTTCTATTAATTTTAAAAAATTTAAGAAAAAATATTTTTTTATATATTTATGTTAGAATAGAGTAGAGTGGTTTATTGTCATTAATATAATACATGACATGTCAATCACAAAAAAATATATTTATAAAAAGGTAAGTACAGCTGTGTTTAATATAAAAATACATTTACTGTTACATATTTCAATAAATTAAAATTTAATAAGAATAAATAAATAGGTAATTAATTATAGGTATGGCAGGAATAAAAGGTACTTAGCTGATTTATTTCTAGATTTAAAACTTTTTATAAAAATGAGTTAGGTTGCCATGAATATATTTGAAGGCCTCCAGAATTTACATTGATTTTAGTGTAGGTATTCTGTGTTCCCTAAAGATAGATCTGCAAGACTCGCTTGATCTCAAGCCAAATGTATACCTATAGGTAATTTTTGCAGCTTAAAGAGTTTTTTAGCTTCGCTTGCTCTACCCCATATTTAAATTCCAAAGCCCAGGGTACTTGAAAATTTAAATAGTATGTTGTTTTATGGACTTCTATGCATGTAACATCTCTTAACCTTCGCAGTACAGTTGTTTGGATAGTTTATTGCAGGTTTTTTTTAATGTGTGTATTCCAGCTCAGCTTGTTGTCTACAAATATTCAAAAAAATTTGACGCAGCTAGGTTTTCTGTCCAATGTAAAGAATAGACTGGGCCAAAAAAAATTGACTATTTTTTTTTGTAAAGTACCTAGGTATATCGAAAATATTGTTTGGGGTGACAAAAAAAATTATGGTAAAAGTTTGAGTCCATAATATAAATATTAAGAGGTCTATCATCGCAATTTTAGATTTTTTCTTCCTGAGCGAGTTTTTGTCTCAGAACTCCCAAACCATTGAGTTTAACAAAATTGACTTTAAAATATTTTTTGAAGAAAATTGAAGGCTCTACAAAAAAGGTTTGATTATAATTTCCCGTCAGATGAACCGTTTTCTTACAATCATGCCTTAAAAATTGGTATAGTTTTACAATTTGATCTTTTAATTTTGGAATTTTGTAATTCATATATAGGAATTTCCCGTCAGTTGAAAAAATTGGTATAGTTTTACAATTTGATCTTTTAACTTTGGAATTTTGTAATTCATGTAAAAATCAGTATCTCGAAAAAAAAAACGATAATTATTCTTATGGGAAATCAAATGCTCTACAAAAAAAGTCTTTTGTAATTTTGGCTAAATTCACTCAATCAAAAGTTATTCAAGGTTAAAATTTCGTTTTGACTTCAAATTTAACCTTGAATAACTTTTGATGGAGTGAATTTAGCCAAAAATTACAAAAGACCTTTTTTTGTAGAGCATTTGATTTCCCATAAGAATATTTATCGTTTTTTTTTTCGGGATACTGATTTTTACACGAATTACAAAATTCCAAAGTTAAAAGATCAAATTGTAAAACTATACCAATTTTTTCAACTGACGGGAAATTCCAATCAAACCTTTTTTGTAGAGCATTCAATTTTCTTCAAAAAATACTCCAAAGTCAATTTTGTTAAACTAAATGGTTTGGGAGTTCTGAGACAAAAACTCGCTCAGGAAAAAAAAAATCTAAAATTGCGATGATAGACCTCTTAATATTAACATTATGGACTCAAACTTTCACCATAATTTTTTTTTGTCACCCCAAAAAATATTTTTGATATACTTTACAAAAAATAAAATAGTCAATTTTTTTGGCCCAGTCTAGTAAATAACCTCTGTTTTGTCTTTGTTATGTGTATATTAACTAAACAATATATTTAGGCAGATATTATAAAAGTTTTCTTAAAATCTTAGAAACAAACATGCAAAAAGAATGTCATTTTAATTTTGTTTTCTGCATTTTACCTTTAGAAAGGTTTAATAATAAACATTTAGGATTAACAATTTTAAGTACATAGTTTAAGTGACAGACTACTAAAATATAGCTGACACATGAAAACAAACTACTTAACATTTTAATTGAAGAGATATAGGTATTTGGTGTCCAGAAAGCTTACATTTTACAAAATTAATAAATTTTAATGATATAAACAAATATTGTAGGTAGGCGACCACACTAGGCTACAATATACCTCATTCAACCAGTTTTTTAATTATAATATGTTTTAAAATATAGCATTTTCATAAAATTTGTAATATAATTAGTGCTCGTGAAACGAGAATTCTTTATCCCCAAGAGAGGATAAGACATATTTACATACATTTTATATTTAAAATACAACAAGCAGCATTTTAAGTAAAATAGTCGAGCTTTGCGGATTTATAACTTAATTCAAGTAATTATGTCATTAAAGTAAAAAATTGTAAGTTTTATGATTTTTTTACTTTCTTTAATAACAATAAGGTTTCACAACTTTAAAGTATTTTAATGTTATTTTTTTAAGAAAATTACTTATAGGTTTATTTTGCTTGAAGAGATTTTAACGGTAAATTTAACGTAAATATTTTTACTCTAGACTAAATATTACTTATAAGTAATTTTTTTATACTCCTATTACGGATTCTAATATAACTTTTTAATGTGGAATGACATATATTCCATAACGTATTACAGAATGAATGAATCATCAGATGACGGAATAAACACTGGTGGCGACATCTCTGTTTTTAATAACTAACAAATTTTAGACCGATCCAACCTCACTTTTAAATAATTTATTTATGGTATTTTTTGTAAACGTAGAAAAAGTATAGTTTGAAACACGTTTGGAATTGCATATTCCGCTCTCGTGAAACTGTCAAACTCGCCTTCTGCTCGTGTGACAAACTTTTCACTCGAGCGGAATATGCCGTTTTCCAAACTTGTTACAAAATATATTATACTATATTAAAACCACTTTCTTATTTGCCTGGGAACTTTTTAAGGATTAAACTGGTATAAAAAACGATTTAAAATGACATAAAAAAAACTTATAATAAAAAATAAAACTAAAGAGGCAAAATTTCTGAAATAAGCCATTATAAATTAATAAAGATGTCCTCCATTACTTAGGAATACCATTTTTTCTACTCCCACCTTTAAAACACTCATTATCGTACATGTTTCCATGACACTAAGTGACCTTTTAAATACACATTGACAAGTTGTGGCTTTATGGCGTTTTAGTCACGGGCTGAAGTTAGTTTAAGTTAGTTGACAGTT